CTAAACCCTTTGCTCTGAGGGCTTGTTTATACTGCATCAGTGGTGGATCTCAGGGGTGGTGAGGTTCAGCACACCCTGTCTACCTGATACACTCCAAAACTGGAAGTTTACCCATGACAGCTGCTCATCTTGTCCCCAGTGCCTGCTCTGAAGCCCTCGGTCTCTGGAAGGTCTGCCAGCAGCCACTTGGGGAGGAGACAGCCTGAATGACAAACTTCTGGTTCTAGAGTGAATCAGCAATCTTGAGGTGGGTGGGAGCAGGAACACACCTTGTAGTATAGACAAGTCCTAAAAGGCTCCCGATTTGGCCCACTTTTGATCCCACGTAAATGAGATATATGCTGGTGCTTTTGAGATCATAATCAGTCTCACTAACTTTAAAGGAAAATTTGCCTGAAGGAAGTTCAGGCCTTACAGTCAAGCTGTTATCAGATTGTTTATTTGAGATCTGTGCTGCAGTCTGTAGCAACCTCACCCTGTCCCATTAAAACCCTGACAAAACTCCCATAGCATTTAATGGGAGCAGGAAGAGGCTCCAGCTATGACTCACTGATGATCCTACAGAAATATTAAAACTATAATAGTAATGCTACAAAGCACTTGCAAAAGTTCACATTAGACAATGTTTTAAGGCAAATATTAGGACCTTATTTGAAATGGTGAAGAAAATTCTTTCTAATCTGCAATAAATATCTCAATTGTAGACTCTATATCCTTATCTGTAGGGCAATACAGATCTTTACGAATTATTAGAGCTGCACAAAGCAAACTGAAGAGGAGACTTCTAAACCGATCTTAAAAATTATAAGATGAGAAACAACTCTCATAGTCTATATTAATGGTTTATTTACAAGAGTCATAATAGATAGTATGTAGTTAAGTAACAATGGCGAAAAATAACCGTATTATAAGGATTAATTCATGTAATAAATTTGGTTAAGTGCAAATAACTATAAAAAATAGCAAAGTGGTTAAAAAAAAAGCCTGGGTTAAAAGACAGGATTTTGCTTTAGGGGGAGAATTAAGAAATCTTAAAAAATGAAGAGGAAGAAGAGAAGGAGAAGAAACAACAGCAATAGCAACTGGTATTGGAAATGTGAATAATATTTCACATAATGTTGCCTTATACTTTGCATTAAATGCAAAGTATAAATGAGTCCTCTGCCAATTGATCCCATTTGTTTGTGGACTTGGGGCCAACCGGTACCTCTTATTGGTGGGCCAAACTTAAATAATTCCTGTTTTGAAAGATACTAGCAGTTTGAGACAATTCCTATCCCCACAAATGAGGAATACCAGGAAAATCAGTCAGCTCTCTCACGCCGATAGAAACATTAAAGTTAGTCCACTGTAATTCAAAAATGTCTCAATACAATAGATTCAAATTGAAAAATAAATAGAATGAATTTACCTTGGGGCACAGATTAAACAAGGATATTTCCCACCCAAAGAAGATTAAGAAAACTGTGTTTTATGAGCATTTTAATGGGAAGTATTTAAATCTTGTACTAAAACATAAGATACCAGATTTCTGGGGACCAGTTTATTTGAACTTTATACTGAAAAAAAAAAAAAATCAGGCTCCTCCTGCCTTATCAGCATAAAAACTTTACATGTTTGAAGATAAAATTCAGAGAAGAGGTAATTTCCAGAAAAATGTACACTGTTTACCAGGGATAAAACCAAGACTCTTTTATAAAAAGTTATTTTTAAATATAATAAAATTTAATTGGGAATAACATCCTTTTCGAAACAGCCTGCATAACACTGTAGGAAGGATATCATTCACATTCCAGGAAGGTTCAATAATTGTATAGAAAGGTTACCATGCATTATGGAATTCTAACCATATTCCAAAACAGAGAGTCACAATAAAAAGAATATAAGTAAAAAATAAATAAAAAAAAGAAAAAAAAGAAAATTGAATGAACTAACCACGGTTACAGGTAAAAATTTAAAAAAAACATAGAAAACAGGAAAAATAGAACAAAGAACTAGGAAACAAATACAGAATCATGAAATACAGCGAGGAAAAGTAGTAAACTAAATATTTACATACATGCAATTTTACAAAGAGAATATGAGCATGTAAAAAAACCCAACAATAACAAAAAGCAGTATACCTGAATCCAAAAACAAATTTTCAAGATCTTTTATAGATTCTGAAATTTAGAAAAGTTAAGACTTTGATTAAAGTGGCCACACTTGAGATCTAGTGCTCTACATCCCCACATGGGGAACTCAGTGCCCTGAAATATGCATTAGGAATGCTACAAAGGCAACATACTGCTACAGAGAGAGCTTGTTGAACACCAACTCCAAACAATTAAGTAGTATTGAAGTGTTCTAAAAGGATGCCCAGTTCAGCAGTCTCTTGACCAAAATTATGGTGGATGCTGTATCTGTTTAAATGATGGACAAACACTATGATGAACTTCCCTTTTTGTGAGTCAATAGCCATTCATAAATTTCTGCTAGCCAAACAAATTTGGGGCCTCTGCTAAGACTATTCATTTTAAAAGCATTACTTTTAAAAGGGACTAAAGTTCCTGCAGTTTTTATGTCTTTTCTTCAAAGTTTATCATCAATATTTCCTATAATGCATATTAAATTTAGCTATGCAGAATCATAAACATAAGTGTGTGTGTGTGTATATATATATATATATATACACACATATATATATACATATATATATAAGCTGAATATGAGTCAACATAATATAGTTGCAAAACAAGCTGAATTCCAGGGGAGAGCATGACAAAAATTAGAGATCTAGGAAACATGATACATACACAAGGAGAGTTTGGAATAACTGGGGTTATTTAGTCTGAAGACTGAGTAGAGATTTCATAAGTCTTCAAATATAAAAAGGGTTTTTACAAAAAGAATGGTGATCAATTATTTTCTGTATCCACAAGGAGACAGGACAAGCAGTAGTGGGTTAAAACTGAAAGAAGGGAGCTTTGGGGCTGCATATTAGGAGGAAGTTTATAACTTTGAAATTCATAGATTCATAGATGTTAGGGTCGGAAGGGACCTCAATAGATCATCGAGGACGACCCCCTGCATAGGCAGGAAAGAGCGCTGGGTCTAGATGACGCCAGCTAGATGCCTATCTAACCTCCTCTTGAAGACCCCCAGGGTAGGGGAGAGCACCACGTCCCTTGGGAGCCCATTCCAGACCTTGGCCACTCGAACTGTGAAGAAGTTCTTCCT